AAAAAAAAAAAAAAAAGAAACGCCTCATGGGAGGACACACAGACCTAGAGTTTATGACAAACAAGGGTCACAGTACTCCAGCTAAGCCCAGCTCATCGAACACAGATGGTATTTTGCTTCTAGCAACTTCTCGGTCAAGCTAACCTCCCGTGTGTTTATACTCCAACAGTAAGGTAGTTATTAACATCATGTTAAATGCAGACAGGAGACAAAGTCACCCCTTCCTTTTCAGACCTCTGGCAATGGTCATATTGTGAAGATATCCTGTCATTCTTAAGTCTAATTTCTAACTGGTTCCTTTCACTTAGTTTAAATATGTTCATTATATATCATTATTTGCTACAGGGAGAAACGCCTGTTTGAGATATTCAGGACGAAAAGGTGGGCGAGGAGAGACAAACACTGACTATGAGGGGAAAAGCCAGCAAAAAGAGAATGAATGAAAGATAAAGGAGCGATGCGCTTGTAAGGGGGATGTGAGCAGAGCTGTGCTTTCTTGAATACCATCCCAGTAGCTCACCAAGCAAGAAATCTCAGATTTAGGCAGCGGGAGGTGGTATCAAACCCTAAAGCTTCATGTTGAAAACCACCGGAATAAAATATGGAAATTTCCGGAAGAAAATCTGAAAACCCGGGAACTCCGTCAACCCCACTCCATTCCAAACAAGCAGCACCCGACCCCCCCAGCTCACTCCAGTCCAGAAGCAGCAGCTCCTCCCCAACCCAAGGAAGGTGCCTGCCGAGCACAAATTGTTGCTTGTCTCATGTTCCAACTCTGTTTTCTGAAGACTGCATTGAGTGTTGGCAGGTGCTACACTGTTCTGGACCTCGGGCATGTTGTCAGGAATTTGGGGACCAGGACTAACAGGTGCAGAATGCAGCCGGACACGCTCCCCGTGGAAACAGCGCACACCGTACATGGCCACCCACGCGCTCCTGACAAGGCTCCGGATTACTCACGGGACGTCTGCACCTCCAAAAGACAGACCTTCAGGCATTCAGGTTGCTAAACGTCGATCATAAAGTCCTTTCTCCCCAACGTATCAGACCAAAGCACTTCACTGTCCTCTGATCTCCATGCTAAATGCCTTTAAAGGGAAGACTCCAGCTTCTCTATTCTAAGCTGTTACAGCTCATGAGTAAATCTTCTGACTCTGCCCAAGTCTTCATGAGTAAAACTCCATGACGTTTTAACTGTAAGACTCTACAATTAAGGGATAAAGAAAACCTGTGGGAAGGTGGGAGGGTTCCCTTTTCCATCCTGCTGCATGGATAAAAATGATGGCGAAGGCCAGAAGACACATCTGTTTCCTTCCTTTCAGCTTTTAGTCTCTCTCTAATGCCCTAAAAAAAAAAAAAAAAAAAAAAAGACTTCTCTCTCAAGTCTATTTCCAGACTCTGTTTAGTGTGATCGTGAAAAATATTTCAAAGAATTCCGTATGATAAAGAAACCGCAGAAGATCCATTCTTTTCAAATCAACTGCCCTTGGTTTGTCAACACTGCTGTCTAACTCATGGCAGTCCCTCCTTCTGATTTCCAGATCCTCTCCTCTTCCTTTTCTAAATGGCAGGCTGAACTCAGGGCCCCAACACACTGGGGCTTCAGATGTCTGGGTTTCATTTGTGGCTGAACCACTAACATGCTATGCAGCATGGGGGGTCGGATGGGGGGCTCTTCACCTTTCCTGTGACAAAGGAATGTTCCATACCTCAGGAGAGGATAATAGCATTGGCAACTCATCAGGAGCTTCGGGAAGCATAATTAATTAACATGAGTACTCCTGAGACATAAAGAACTATTTAAGTATAAATCTTAATTATCATGATTATTATGAGCCTATAGCCAAACCTATACTCTTCTCGGTTATTTAAGGCAGAAAAGCAGGTCGAGGTTTCTTTCCTTTCTCTCCCAGGACAAGAAACGGGTCCTGACAAACGGCCAAGGAGCCAAGTCGTGGGGGGCTTTATATTTTCTTAATGTGTAACATTTGGAGAAATTTCCTCTCCCTACATTCTTTGGCCCAAGTACACCAAATCTAAATCTGCCAGTTTGAGGGCAATTCTAAGTGCTGCAGAGAGCTCTAGTTCATCCAGACGTCATGAATCTTTTGATAAAACAGCACAAATGAGAAGCTGTGGGGAAAACTCTTCCAATATTTATAGTTTGTTCCCAACGCACATTTTGCATAGGAGACAAATGCTCCCGAATTAGGAAGCATAAGTCACTAACTCCCACTGCTTGTGTGAATGAGCATTCTTGAGCTGTGACATTCTTCCTGAATGAGTGGGCCATAGAGAGACTCTTCATGTACTGCCTGAAGAATGGGAAGTTTTAGAGCATGGGTATTTTATTACCCAGTGCTCCGGCTAGGTTCGTGGCAAGGCTGAAGTGTTAATCACTTGGGTGAGATTTCGATAAAAGAACCTACTCTTAAACTATTAGCATGTTCACGATTATAGAAATACTTGACGTTGAAAATTCTTGAAACTCATGCTATCTGATCCGAAGATTCTAGCAAAGGCCCTGGGTTTCTTCCTGATTACACTCACAAGTAATGTCTGTCATTAATTTCTGCTTACCATTCCGCTCGAAAAGACATGCTCACCACTTCTAACCTCCACTCAGTCTCCACGCACACTTTTGAGTTCACAAGAGGGCTTTTCTGGACATAGGACTGAAAGCCAATGACAGCCACCTAGTGGATCACTGTCATCTCAGGTAAGTCTTATTTCTGGCCTCTAAGCAGAATTTTTGGAGCCTCCCCAGAGAGCCCCATGCTTCCTATGTGTGTGCTCTACCAGGGCTCTACTTTATCTACTCTCCCTAAGCCTCCTTAAGCCACACATTGAATCCATCCTACTTTTTGCCAAACCCAATTAGAGTGCATCTCTGTGCACAAGCTATTCTGCATTTTTGTCATTGTTACTCATCGATATCCGCAAGGAGTCAGTGCGGCCATCTTGGCAGATGCCCGCGCTGTTCTTCCAGTAGCTTCCCCCAGGTTCTGCAGGGCAGAAGGGAACTATCCTCACTACTCAAAGTGTGGTCTGGGACCTGCAGCTTCAGCTGGGAGCTGGGAGCTGGTCAGAAACGCGGCATCTGAGACCCTTCCCCAAATCCATGGCATCAGAACTGGAGTTTTAGCAGGATCTCCAGGAGAGTTACACTCATTACAGTTTGAGAAGCCCTAATTTATAAGTCCATGAGAACTCTGACCAAAGTCAAAACCTCAATGGGCATAGAGGATGGCAACTTTACAATGAAACATAGAGCAAACCTAAAAATAGCCAAGTCCTGAGGGGGTATGAGTACTCTCCAGCAGTGACTGTGACAAAGGTTAGGGGTAAGGGCGGGAGATGTTTTGTCCCCAGTGGCATATGTTTGAGCCCATTCTGAATGAGGAGGGGAGGGGAAGGAGCTTGGACACCAGAAGGAGCTTAGGTTTATCCACCCTCTCCAGGAACCCAACTGTGACTTAGTTTTCTCCTTAGAGCCCCAAGTCTAGAAAGTTCATGCAGTCAAGAGTCCTGAGGTCTTCTCTGGGTGTGCCCGAGCCTCTGGATAAGGAGGACAAAGCAGTGCCCACAGAAAAGCAGTTCTGAGCAGAAAGTTCCTCCCTCATGGCCACAAAGGGAGGTGAGGAATGGGTACGTTGGTGATTATATTCTCAGTGCCCACCGAGGCTAGAGCTGGATCCATGTCCTTTGAAACCTTGGCTTCACACTGAGATTTCCAGAGGTCCCAAAGAAGACAGAAGGTGCTTATATGGGACTTCTATGGAAGTTTCTATGTAGCCATGGGGCCTCCATGGCAGCACTGAGAACCCAGACTGAGTTCGCCGCCACAGAAGGCTCTGAGGACAAGTGCCTGCCTCTGGCCAGAGAAGCCTAAAGCAAACTGTGGTGGCGGGACGCAGGTGGCATTTGAGTTCAACCCGTAAGCCCAGAGGTGTCAGGATGAGGGACCACAAGGGCTCCCTGTGGACCCGACGGAGGCAGCCTGAGAGAAAGTCTGTCCTGACCACAGCCCCTTGGAGGGGCAGAGGGACCTCGGCAACACAAGCCACATTCCTGGGTGCTGAGGAAGGAGATGCTTCCACCAGTTGCAATGGAGACCCGTTTGCTCGCTGCCGTGGAACTGCAGGAGAGGGGCCCACGGAGACAGGAACTGCCAAGATCCCATAAAGCTATCCAGGAGGAAGGTCTGCAAACCAGCACTGAACACACCCAGGTCCCAAGAGACAAAGTCACCAGCGAGCACATCTGCCTGGGCCCCTCCCTTCTACTTGGGCAACGGAGGGCCCAAACTCTCCTTATCCAGCTCCGGTCCCCACCCCCATCCTGCCAGCCACGACCAGCAGAGGAGAGGAAACTGGCCCTTAAATGAAGTCCAGAGTTTTGATTTCTAACTCAGACAAGACACGCTATTTTTCCATTGAGATTTTTGTTTGCAACCTAACGTGACCAAAGGATTGTCTGTTACTCAACAAGGAGCAGAAAAGTCTTGCTTGGGTCAGAGGTCTCATCCAGACTGGGGATGCTCACCTTTGGGCGCACACTAGAGTCACCAGGGATCTTAAAAATAGAAAATTCCGAAGCCTAAGCCTCATCCGGGAGCTACCGAATCAGAGTTGCTAGAGGTGGGCCCTAGAAATGTGTGCTAACTAATGAAATAACAATTAAAACTCCCCAGTTGATTCTATTGCACAACAAGGAGACAAGGAGCAGGGCACTAGCATTCAGGAGCCAGAGAAGATTATTCCTAATGAATAAATGTTCCAGGGACAGTGGAAAACAGCAACGAAATAAAATTAGTTTGATTGTTACAACCTGCACTCCTCAGGGTGCTGGAAAGATAAACGCTACAGTTCTCTAAATTTCATTTGGAAGCTAAAAGTTGAGTTTTGTGCTTTAAATGTGACCCAAACCTGACCAGAGCCGAGTTCAGTTCTAAACATGGGATCCAAAATGATCAATCTGGTGTCTGGAGTTTGGGAAAGTCTCCCCTCCCGTTCTTGGTCACTAGCCAGGCTGCCCGTGATGAACAGATGGGAAGGCACTGGCTTGGTGTCTGGGGCCCTGCTGACATCGAAAGGTCTGATCACACCTGTCCGTCCTCATTAGCACCCTGGCTGGGTCTGGCGTCAGAGTCTGCGAGGTCCCGGCACTCTGGAGAGACGCTGTACGGGGATCTCTACCACGGCCTCACACACTCACACCCTGTGGATGGTACCCTCTTCCACCTGGCTGGTGCTGGCCCCAGGTCTCTGCTCTAAGCAGAAAGCAGCAGAGTGTCTTCCCTACCACGCGGTATGAAAAACCATCAGGACTATCACTGCATTCAACCAGTCCATCTCCTTCACCAGAAAGCTCACCAACTTCTGTTTGAGGGACTTTCTGTTTCTTTGTTTTTATTTCTGTTTTCATTTCCGTCAGCACACTTCATTTTCTATCTACAAACAGACAGTGAATTCCTACACGAGGTGACTATCCCATAAAAATCTCAGTTCTGAGCTGAAGGAGGAAGGCACGCTCTGAAGACATCAGAGCCGCCATTTTAATTCTCCTGGCCGCATATGGAAAAGCAACCCACTTCACCCATCCCAGGCTGCCTGCTTCCTCACAAGCCAGGAAACTTGCAATCCAAAAACAAAACGAAACAAAACAAAACAAAACAAAAAAAGCATCTCATCAAAAAATAAGTAGCTGAAACATCTTATCGAAAAGATTTATAAGAGCTAAACTTCTTTCCAATTACTATGTGACAACAACAGAAATACTGAAGGAATATAAACCCACATTTGACCTGTCATCCTAAACTTGTAAACTTTAGACCAGCAGGGAAATATATATATATTTGCTATTTGTTTATTTTTCTTTAGTTTTAAAGGAGGGTAAGAGGGAAAGGAAACAATTCTTTAAAAGGCCATTATCTGTAATGCTATGGCTACAAATCTCATAAATACCAAAGATTCTATCACACAAGCCAAGTGAGGTCAATCTCTAATTGGTCACACTGGTTTATGGCCCACGAGGGCCATTTATATCCACTATCACCCTGGGCCGAGTCTCTTTTATTTCCACTTTCATTTATTACTGCCTGATAGCTGGTCCTTGAGTAAATACTTAAAGGGGAAAAAAATCGTCCTTTCTAAAAGGAGATATTTATATCTCAAAGACTTGATAAAAACAAACGAACAAGAAGAAGGAAAGAACAGACGTCTTTATAAAATTAACCTTGACTTTTATTTTTGAGAGATGATTATTTCCTTTAAAGGGAATACATGAGTGACTCCAAGGGATCCTTACACCAGAAATCAATTCTTTCCTATCATCAGCTAAGTTAAAACTAACAAAAGCAATCGATAAAAATGAGGCCACGTGGATAAGAGGAGCTGAGCTCTACCAAATATTGGCACCACACAGAAATGTTCAAAAGAAAATACATCGACCCCCTGTGTTAAATAGAAGCCAGCGGCTTTACCCTGGCAGGACCGAGCATCGATCAAAGCACACAGACCGCTTCTAAAACTTTCGGATGCCAGACCCTCACCCTGAATCAAGTTCACCCCCAACGGTTTCAAAAGGTAGCTGCTGACAAAATTCAAATAAAGTCTGAAGTTTAGTTAATAGTCATGTGCCAATGTCAGTTTCTTCCCTTTGACAAAGGCAACCGCAGTAATGCGAGACGTTCCCAAGACTGACAACCGGGTGAGGGGTGTCTGGGGACCCCATGTTGTCTTTGCAACTCTCGCATACATCTAAAATATTTCACAGATAAGACGTTTACTTAAAAACATCCATAAAGTTGTTGTCCCCAGGCAGAGTCTGGATTTAACGCTAAGGCTGTACCCACCCCCCACCCCCAAACGTGCAGGAGGAGACACAGTAATCTAGAGATTTACTACAGCAAATGGAGCCAAGCAGCTAAACTCTCAATGAAGAGGAAGATTTAATGGAACAGACAACTGCCAGGGGTAGCCTGGGTAAGGTGTCCAAACATAGTTTGTTTTATGTGCTCCTGAAAGGCTGTTTGTAAATCAACTCACATAATTCAAATAACGCTTTGAACATGCTAAGGAAGCTTGTGCATTTAAAAAGCTATTTAATAAATACCAGGGTCATGGAGAGGTTTATTGTGTAACGGAACGACTGCACTCCCACTATTGGCTGAAGGGGGCTTCACGAGCGTCATCTCTGTCCACAGGGCTGCCCCCACATTCACGTTGCCCAGGCCTCTGAGTTTCCGTCTTCCCTTTCCCCTGCCAAGCCATCTTTGTGTGGCTGTGATTAACTCAGAGCTATTACAGCGAGTTCTACTCATGTCCAGGTCCCAACGTCCCAACAGGCCTCAGCCTCCACCACGTTATCAGGTATCTGGGCAACAAGATCCAGCAAGTAAGAATACTCTGCCGAACAGCACTTATCTGAGGCAGATAAAGACATGACAGCTGTCCCTGCCATTACTGGGGTTCGCACTGGAATTCTCCTGCTGGCCACAAAATGGACTCCTGACGGCCATCCTTTGCCCAGTCCAAACCGTCGTTCAGAGGGGAACAGTTACCACTCCTAGAAAGACAACTCAGGATCCGACAGAAGAATGCCTGCACTCTACTTGGGCAAATCACACATTCCAGGACGCTGCTGTCTCATCCATGGTGGGAGGGCAAGATTCTGAATTCCAAATGGATAAGGGCTAGGAAACACATCTTCACTAGTTCATGAGCCGACCAAATACTGTTCACTTGCCCACAGTTTTGCATGGGTTTTGCCATTATGGGTACAAAACATCATTTAACACTTGAGATAAAAATAATGCGTGCATCAGACTATTGTTTAAAATGATTCATCCCCCCAGATAGCAGGAGGGGAAGAAGGAAGGGGGGAAATCGGAGGGGGAGACGAACCATGAGAGACGATGGACTCTGAGAAACAAACTGAGGGTTCTAGAGGGGAGAGGGGTTGGAGGATGGGTTAGCCTGGTGATGGGTATTAAGGAGGGCACGTTCTGCATGGAGCACTGGGTGTTACACGCAAACAATGAATCATGGAACACTACATCAAAAACTAATGATGTAATGTATGGTGATTAACATAACAATAAAAAATTAAAAAAAAAACACCTCCTTGGGAGCAGGAGTCCCTGCCCTTGGACTTGGCTTTGGCCCTGTGGCTTCCATTGGTCAGCAGTATGTAGCCTGAAGAGACCATGTACCACTACTGAAGCTATTCCCTGAGAAGCTGAGCCTATTTCTAGTTGCCCTCTTGCCATCTACACTTGCTACTAAGAAGCAGGTCTCCTATGTAGCTGCTGCTTCTTCACTTGTACCCCAGAATAAAGACACACGGAACAAAATTGCCCAGCTGACCCATAAGCAAGACTAAATAATGGTGTTTTAAGCCACTGGGTCTGGGGGTGGTTTATTGTAGGCACCATTTTGCCAACAGTTGAGTGATATGTCCTATCCTCTCCCCAAATGCAAAAGCATCAGGTACTCACCATCATCGATTCCAGGCCAGCCCATGAAGTGAGCAGAAATCTGTTTCTCATCCTTCCCATACTCATTCTTGGCTACTAACTTGTAGTCCCCATTGTTCATGTGAGTGGGATTATCCAGCTGGAGGCAGCCATGGTACTCCGTGTGATTGGTAACATGGATTTTAGTACAGATGTATTTGGACTCATTCAATATGGCCCCGTTATAGAACCACTGAAGCGCTGGTTTGGGGTTGCCTTTCACAGTGAATGGAATGCACCAGTGGTGGTCTGAGGTTGGAGATTCGAGAAATGTGATAGTTGGAGCAACTAAATTGAAAAAGAGAGAGTTAATAGCACCAGAACGCTCAGAATTCTCCCCATCTCCAGATTTCTGTGTCATCAATAGGGAATTTTATTCAACAACCATTTGGTTAAGAAAATACAGGACCAGCAACTCTGGAATCCATCAATATTTTGAATCATCATCAAGGCTGATTGAACTCCCTACAGAGAGTTTCAAAGAGACTCCTTTCCCTATACTTAAGACCCATGAATCATAGTCATTTTTCAAATCTATTCAGTGTGAGAACCAGCTCCAAATAGATTGCAGAGATTTCTGACAGCAGAAAGGGTTCATTTGAAGTCAACTTTGGTTTCGAACAAATACGCCTTGATATTATGTAGATTCGTCACCAAAACGCTGAGGGCCACTGTTTTTAATTTACGGTCCTTCATTAAACAACACAAATATTGACAAAAGTGACTTTGGAAATCTTGCTGGAAGCCTGGATCTCACATCACTTATCTAAAACAGATCAAAATGACCAAGGCCGTGAATGCTCCTACCAATGCGGATTGATTATTATAAAGTATGATCAATTGGTACTTTTCGCCGATTGCCAATAGTAAATGCTCTTTAAAAGCATCACATTTTGGGGTGCCTGGGTGGCTCTCAGGTCATGATCTCAGAGTTGTGAGACTGAGCCCTGCATCGGGCTCTGCGCTCAGCAGGGAGTCTGCTGAAGATTCTCTCTCTCTCCCTCTGCCCCTCCCCCTGCTCACTCTTCTCTGTCTCTCAAATAAATAAATCCCTAAACAACAACAACGAAAAAAAAAGCATCACGTTTCATTACAGCACACTCCATTTTTGCTAGATTTCAGAAGCCAATGTTTTGATCCTTTTTAAATGTCTGGGGTTCTATCCAAACCTAGACAAACAAACTAGAGATTACTTAAACTTTAAAAATAAAGCACTTTATGCTTTGGGGAAACAAACATTTAAATAGCATTTTTAAACAGAGTACTTATCCTGAGGGAAGGTATTTAAAGTCCCTCATAATTGTTTATTTTAATGTGGTCTGACTTTGATAACGATACAATGGAGGACTAGAAAATTCCCCAGAGACCTAATAGCATTGTTTCTCAGGTCAGGAAATCCAAGTCCAGTGAGGTTAAATGACTTGGTCAAATTTAGCGAGCGAGGCAGATCTGGAACAGGGATCCAGGTCTCCTGATGCTTAACCCGGAAGCCTTTCCCTCCTGACCCTGCTTCCTGTTATACGTGTTCATCACACAAAGTTGCGGGGAGGGGGAGAATTACAGCCTGCTAACAAATACACTTTGGCCGGAGTCACTACCAAAGCTATCTCAGTTGTTAAAACTCTTTACCATTTATTCCTTTTATTCTTTATCTAGATTTTGATAGACAAGGTCAATTCTTCAGACCATGGCAGCCACCATAGATATTAAGTGAGAAGATTTTGAATTTGAGCATCCTGATTTATAGGTCTGTGTTACAAATACAAGGACCCCAGTGGGGTAGGGACAAAACTTACCTTCCTCCCACCAGCCCAGGCCCCCATGCCCAGGACCCACTTAATCCTTCCACCATGCTCAGAAGAGCTTTTGGTGATGTGTTGACTTAAGGACATAAAGTTGGAAGCTGGTTGCATGTGTTTGGGGATAACATTGATATCAGGCTTCTGGGTGGCTCGAAATGATGAGAAATTTTAAGTCCAGTACCTACTGGGCACAGAGGTAGTGCTGACAGTGACAAAGGATTACAGTTGGTGACTGCAGTCATGCACCCCGACAATCGCATACGGAATGTGTGCCGCGGGTGAACACTAACCAGCATATCGACACCATGTGTCTACATGTGTGTAATGTGTATTCATACATACACACGTGTCCGCTTGTGGTTTTCTCACCCACATCCTGACCCAGACACAGTAAAACCTCATTAATTTATACCATACCAGCTCAGAATTTGGAACGATGTGCAAAGTATATGGGATTTTTACTGAATACGTGTTTGCACAGAACGCTACAACCTGGAACGTTCAGATATGTGTTGTTATTTATAATACTAGAAAATAATGCACATACGCTTAAGAAGCTTTAATAGCCTGCATCTTCACTTCAATATATACAGAAATTTAAACCGATTATAATAAAAGTTTTCTGCAAGTGATCATAATTTTCGATCATTTAAGTAGTACTCCACCAACCTTCCCACAGAAACCTGATGTCAAGCTAATGAGGTTTTATTGCATCGATGGTACACTTGGGTGTTTGTGAATAGCCAGCCCAGTACTTTAGGTGACATAACTTTAAATCTTCATAGTGCTTTTATAGAGAAAAAGATTTTAGAAACTGGTTTATCAGAATTTAAACGAAAACTGATTAACAAGAGGAGGATAACCAGCTCAAAAGAGGTTCTCTCAAAAAAAAAAAAAAAAGACAGCGGAAGGCACAAGAGGACAAGCTTAAGATCAAAAAGCTTAAAAGAAAGACATGCATGTGTAAGAGAGATTCGCAGAAATAGAACACTGATTATTTCTTTAAAAAATATACACAAAACACTGCACACACTTTTTTTTCTTGACACACTTAAGCGGCACCCAGAGGGCCACAATGACAAATGCACGTGTGTCCACGATCATTCGCTATTAGAAACATATGCCCGTCTGATTACGTACAATGTACAGTGAGGTTCACAGAATCTTGGTCTTCTCCTACAAGATTTTCTGCCACACAGGAGATTTGCTTTCCACTGTCATCAGATGAAATGTTAGTTATCCTTAAGGAGCCCTGTGTGTGGCTTGTTTCATTCTACAAATGAATTAACAGACAAAAATAATCCTTATTAGGGCTGATCCCAAAGTGACAAGATTTGGGGTTTCTCCCCCTAACTGAAGAAAAAAATATATACCATTATAAAGTTTTCCGGCCTGAACTGGGGCCAGGCAAAAGAGTAAATCCAGAGCTATTCTATTTCTCTAGAATATAACTGTTTAATGAGCAAAGTTGATTTAATCCTTGGATTCCTATCTACGTTTCTCCAAGGGAAAAGACCATAAGGCGCATCCCTCGCCTTGCTCACAAGGACACAAGAAGCTCACTAGACACCCAGAGACTCTAATCTATTGGATATACACAACTAAAATGCAAACCTGGATTCATCTTTGTTAATTACAAGAATGAATAGAAAGTAAATGTATATCAAAAACTCATCATAAATGTCTCTGTATGGCCCTATAAAATTTTAAATGATCATCACTAGATGAATACAATCTCAAGTTCTGAGACACTCTCGTCTCTCTAGGAACACAGAGCCAAACAAAAGCCTTACCATATGTTTGGAAACCAGATTACCGACATCCCAGTACAAATTCGGAACTGGATCGCCTGCAACGCTACAAGATAATGTGATAGACTTTCCCTCCTCCACAGTGAGGTTGGGTGCAGCCAAATTTGCTGATGGCAAACCTGTGGAACAAGAAAAGTAAGTGGAGACATATACAAATAGTTCGATTCATTATTAAAATAATCGCAACAAATTGGAAACTCTTCATGCTTTAGAATCAGTAATGATTTAATTTCCGAGACAGATTTATGTTGATCTGAAAAAGTGCTGGGTTGGTAAGCTTTACAGATTTAACGTGAACCAAAAATGTGCGGTTATAAGATTTGAAAACAAATTTTGCATGTTTCTTAGAAATATTATTGCAGAATAACTTTTTACTTTAAAAGAAAACTAGTTTATAAAACTAGGTCTTCTATCTCTCTCAGGGTTCTACAGTTGCTAATCCAGTTTTTTTCCACATAAATAGGTTTCTGTAGACCATCTTACCTTGTTGATTTCCCCATTGTCCCCTTCATTTTTTATAGTCAAAATCAAAAAGGTGAGAGGCACCTACATTTTTTGCATAAATTCTCTTTTTACATTAAGTAACTCATAAATATAACCCCACCCCCAGACCTAGATTTTGATATAGATTACAGAAGAAAATGTAGCTTTTTGGGTTGTTTTTGTTTTGGGGGGGGGCAGAGGGAGAGGGAGAGAGAGACTCTTAAGCACATTCCACCCTCAGTGCAGAGCCCAACGCAGGGCTCGATCTTAAGACCCTGAGATCATGACCCGAGCTCAAACCAAGTGTGGGATGCTTAACCTACTCAGCCAACCAGGCACCCCAAGAAAATGCAGTTTTAAAGCATTCTTCACACATGAAGCTGGACCATCACAATATTAGAATGTTCCAAAGCTATATAACTCATAGTTAAATATCATAGGAAAAATGGGTTATTGTAAAATTTCCAGTATGATAAAAAAAAAAAGTCATGTGCATCTGTACTTCCACATTTCAAGAGCTTTTTGATGTCATTATCACGTCATTAAACTATCACACCTATTGGGTGTTTACACTGCTTTAAATCACATGGGACTCACACTATTTTCTGCATGAAGGCGCATCCCAGAGAGCATAACGATATGTCAGGTCCTGCCTGTCAAGCTCGTCCCTCGCTTGGTATCAGAAACTCTGCTCCGGAGCTGCATTTACCCCGACAGCTGTGTCCCAAGGACCCACGACACCTCATTAACTCAGGAGTAAGCCAGAGGTCAGAGAAGGCAATTCATCTTCAGTACACATTACATTGCAATTAAAACACCCACCTAGCGCTCTCTGACCCACTGTCTCCACATAACTGGGTATAAACCCCTCTCCTACGATGCAGTCCTACTGACAAAGCCTTTCTTCTTTATCGCCAAAAGCGGCCTGCAACAAGACTTCTCCAGCGTTCGTCTCATGGTGTCCCCACCATCCACAGAGGACTTCCCAACCAGACCCGGCTTTCAGTAGCCGGCAAGACTCTTCAGAACCCTCCCTGTCAGCAACCCATAGGAAGCCTTGTTCTACCTTACACAGGGTTTCAAAAATGCTCCCTAAGACTCTGAGTTTCATACTCGCAGGTTTTCAGTCTGTCCTGTTTTTAGCTTCCAAGGCTCTTCTTTTGTTCCTGAACGGTCTTCTATTTGTATAGCGCCCTGTTTTTGTCTCCCAGGTGCAGCATCTCCTGATGTCTTTGAGATGTGAATCAGTTCTTTTGCATTTTTCTTCTCTCCATATCAACACTGTTTCTGGCAACTTGTTTTTCACCATCTTTTTGTTTGTTTGGTATTTGTCTCTCTTATTGTAAGCGTTTCTCAAAGAGTGGGTTATCGTCGGCCGTTCCACACATCTTTAAGAACAAGGTACTAGAAGCATTGTGCATTTAACTGTTGCTTTTGGTGTAGGGCAATATTCCTGGCCTTTTTCCTGCATACGGCCTTTTGCCGTTATCATTAGATCATTTTGGGACAGGGTGTGGTCAGATTATTCAGATAATACTCTTCCAATGTCCTACCCAGAAGAAGAAGAAGGATGGAAATACCGATATTCATATGTAAATCCATCATTTTCTCTATGGTTCTCACAGCCTCACCTCTTTCTGGAGTTCCTCATAATATTGGTTTGATCCTCTTTAGAGAATAAACCTCCAGTTTTCTGCTGAGGAGGGAGGGGTGCAGTCACCTGGAATGTATGGAATGAAAATGGGATTAACTGCTCCATCAGGGACTTGACCCCCTCTCTTGGGTTTGGTGTTGTCTGCACGCCTGCTTCTTCCTGGGCTTGGTAACAGCTCTGTGTCCCAAACCAATTTCCTCTTGCCCTTGCCCTCTGCCAACCTGGTAATCAGCATTCTCAGCCATTAGCTCGGTTTCTATTCGTCTGTCTACTTTCCAGCTTGCAACCGTTTGTGTCCTGTTGACTCCTCTCCCATTTTCTTGTGCTTAGAGATTTATCTGCTGGTTCTGGAGGGATCACAGAGCCAGAGCCTGCCCTGATGCTTGTCCTCAAGGTATGACCTCCTCCACCAACAGAGCTTGGAGACATCCCTCTTGGCACCTTGAATACAAACTATGGGATGAATTTCCTACTTACTATAAATGCATATAATAGTTTGGAAATTCTGAGCAGAAAAAAAGGTTAAAATAGAGATTCCCAAGAGAGAATGCTATGTCATAATCTCCATTTCCCTGAGAAAATTTAATGTAGTCTTTTTCATCAAGCCTAAATTTATATAAACAATTCTAAAAAAATATGTGTAATTAGTAGTATTATTTACTGGGCATTCACTGAACCAGAAACTCTTTTCTAGTACTTTAAATGATTGGTTTATGTAATCCTCACAACCAGCACAAAGTTAAGTGTTTGTCCTTATCTAATTAACGAAGACTGTGTGTTCTGGAAAAGTCTAACGCATCTTCCAAAATTGCCCACATACCTGTAGACCTAGGATTCCGAACCCAGAGTTCACGGTCTTCACCACTACACTATACTTCCTTCCCAGACTGCATATATCCATTTTAGCACAGAACATAAATACCAATATGTATCTATAACCTAAGAGTTTAGTTCATTTAGAAAATAATTATGTGTCTATTTGTGAAGGAAGAATGAGTCTCTCTTATTTATAGACAAATTGTCTCACCCTGTCACAGCAGTTCTCCAAAGGAGTCTGTGCAAAATTGGCCAAGTCTAGATCTTTTAGATGTAAAGTCTCCCACAAATGAGTAAGCATCTGACTCACATTAATTCTAAAGCATTAATAGGCTGGCCAAAGATTCAATAATGGAAAAAACAATCTGTACTTGAAATATCACTTGAGGTTTAATTAGCACAATAAAAATGAATTGGGATGCATGAACAGCCAAGGCAGGATAAACCATTTGCCAGGCACTACATCCTGGCTTAATAAGATTTGAAATCAGCACAAGTACAGAGCAGAGCTCAGCAATGCTTCCAAGAGCTTCTAGCCCTATTGTCATGGGATCCTCATTTAAGCTTGTGAGCTGTCTTCCTCTGCACTCTGAGAAACCTCACTGGAGATAAGAGATGACCAGCCACTCAGGCAGACGGACACCTCTATGTCAATGTCCTGGATGTGTTCCGAAAGGACATACCAGCCTGCGGACCTCACCCACCACGTGGTGAAAAGGCTGACTTCCTTTAGACCAGGGCCTCCCAAACTGTAATGTGCGTGTGAATCACCAGCAGATCTGATTAGAAACGTTGCTTCTTTCCAGTAGGTCTGGGTTGGGGCCCGAGAGTCTTCATTTCTAGCAAACTCCCTGTTCCACAGACCACACTTTGAGTAGCGAGGGTTTAGACGATGGGTGTTGACTGGACAACCGCTCACTAGGTTTTTTCGTCTACGACTATTATTCTTAAACTTGGCAGGGGCTTGAGCAATCATCTCATCCACGGAGCTTTCCCCAAAGTGTGTTCTGTGGAAATCAGACTCCTTGAGACATTTGGTGGGGAAGAGGGGGTATCTAATATTTAAAAAAATAAGAGCCTATAGGAACTTCCGTAACTCTGGATGTTCACTATGTACATCACATATTAAAAGCTCCCAGAAGTCCTGCTCTAAAGGAACCAGTTCACTTCCATGGATCTTATATTCCCCAAGCTTTTTTGACTACACCCTTTCTCTGTAGTATCTTGTTGTGGCTCTGTTATTTTTATTTGAAGTGATTTGACAAAATATAAAAGATACACATATTTAAATTTAGATGTAAAATATATTTAAAGCTACATATTCCTATCAATGGTAGTAATAACATTAATAGCTCATGTTTATTGAGTACTTAATATGTGCTAGACCTCATCTGCAATATTCTCGATATTAGCTTATTTGGCATCCTAAAAACTCTTGAAAGTAGGTGTCATTAGGATCCCCATTTCCAGATGAAGTTAAAGCTTATCAAGTACCACAACTGAATAGCTAATGAATGGGAGCTGGGCTTGACTCTCATCTTTCTGTCCATGGCCTTAACCAATACACTGACTGGCTGCCTCCTTTATTGGGCTCAGCCCTGCCTCTGTTCCCTTCCATGAGCACACACTTCCAGACAATTGACTCTGTCTTGGGATCACTAATTTGAAGTATGCAGGTTCTTTCCATTTCTTTATCACCATTCCAAAGGGATAAGGAATGCTCATTTTTAGTACGATATTAGGTAAAAATGAATTCGGTTGACCTATCCCTAAAAACATAAAAAGCAAGTCAAGTAGGCAGGGTCTCACTTTCTAATGGTTAAAGAAAACTAACCTCTTATCATTTTGAGTTATTAACTCAGCTTTGCAGTGAGTGAAATGGGTCAGGTCTGGGTTTTATTTTTCACCTGTAAGTAGGGATAATGCTCTTTCTCATCTTGTTTTAGTGATCCCTGAGCTCTGTTCATTTTGTGTTCGATCATCATTCTGTGCATAAAATATTCAAATAAATTATGATTTTTGTCTCCTCTCTCCTCTCCTCTCACGTTCTCTCTTTTTGGCATATCTTCCAATTCCTCTGTCTCTTAAAGCATGTATGTTTCACTACCAGGAAAGAAGCCAGAATGAGCCTGACCTATTTAGAAGTAGCTGCTTTACGCCCAGTTA